TAGTCATCCCTGCCGGGGCCCCGTTGAAACTGTTCGAATTGGGCCCCGCACTTCCTAAAGCCGGCCCTGTATCTAGTGGGGGGTGGGGGAGAAAAGTGGGAGAGAGAAAAAAAGTCTGCTCTACAGCCTTAGCTAACGGGCAGTTGGCTTTTAGCTCATGCTGTAGAGCAGGGGCGGGCAAACTTTTTGGCCTGAGGACTACATTGGGTTTCCAAAATTGAAAGGATGGCTGGTTAGGGGAGGCTGTTCCTCCCCAAACAGCCAGGCGTGGCCTGGCCCCCGCCCCTTTTCCGACCCCCCCTGCTTCTCTCCCCCTGACAGCCCCCCTGGGATTCCTACCCCATCCAACCCCCCCTGCTCCCAGTCCCCTGACAGCCCCCCCGCCCCTGACTGCCCCCACATCCAACCCCCGCTCTCCTTCCTGACTGTTGGTGTTACACACACAGTGAACAAACCTCAGGTATCCCACTCCGATACTTCTCAACAACACAGAACACAAGACGTGCCGGGTGTCGGCTATGGGGATAACTTGCATTTATTTGGTTGCTGACGAGTGCACTGCAAGGTTGCAGCTGCAACAGCATCTTTCAGACCACGAGAGAATACCTCATATGCATCACGAACACTTGTCTCTGAGAAAACCTACGGTGTGCGCCGTGCCCCCAGGTCCGGCTTTGGGAGTGCGGGACCCTGGCAGAAGCTGGGCACAGGGTGCAATGCTTCCGATGCCGTTGCGCTTTTGCGGTGAGGCCTCATGCCTATATTGCAAAGTCCTTCCCACAAACAACACTGGGTGGGATCCACCAAGGGGCAAAATTTCTACAATGCTGACCGCCGCAGCGCCTAACTTTTCGGCGTGTAGAAAATCACAGGAACAAAAACTCCAAAAAATCCATAAAACTGCGTTAGGCGCTAGGCTCCCTATACAACAAATGGGGAGGGGGAAGCGCCTTAGAATGGGATCCATAAAAGCCAGTACACTAGGTATGGACCCTCCCCTCCCTCAGCGAGGGGTACCTAAGTCTGGGCTGCAGGGAGACAACTGTCTCTGCTAGACATCGCCAAATGGGAACCCCTCTCCTGGAGTCAGGTGGTGTAGGCACCTAAGCTGGGTTCTTTGCAGGAATGAGTTTATCGCCTGCCTCACTCCATACAAAACAGGGGAAAGAGCTGGTGGCGGCAGTGGCCACCTTATAACTTTTAGCCTAGTGGTTAAAGCACTCACCTGTGATGTGGGAAACCCAGGTTTAACTCCCCACCTCTCTGCTGGGGGGGGGGGGGAGAAAGAATTTGAACAGGCGTCTCCTACCTCTCAGGCAGCTGCTCTAAGCGCTGGGCAAAAGGATGTTCTGATGGGGGCTCCCGCAGCCTCCCCCGTTGAAGCTGTTCTGCTGGAGACAAATAATGACAGAGTGACTGAAAGGAGCAGGGGGACTGTAAGGGGGTTGGCTCCTGCCTCTCGTGAGCGCCCCCTTCCCTGGCCAATAGTGCCTGCAATCGCAGTTCTTTTGAGCAGGTCTTCAGCAACTCAGCCCTCCGGCTGAGCCTTATTCACTGTCCCCCCCCTTCCAGGGTATACAGTCTCAGATTCTTTTCCCGGCCCTGATATGGGGCAATAGCTCTAAAGCTTCTTCCCAGAGGCCCTGCCCTCTTCAACAACCCAACCAGGGCCCATCTCAGTACTCACAGCTAGTGTCCTTTCAGCAGGCCTCCCTAGGCTCAGTCTGCAAACAGACCAGCTGGGCCCAGCTCTGTGTCCTTGCTGGGTCAGGCCAGGTTCTTGGCTCAGTCTCCCCAGACTCAGCCTGCTTGCGCAGACCTGTCCACAGGCCAGCCAACCAACCAGGCTCCTGGTCCTCTCTCTTCAAGCTCTAGGCAAGAACTGAACTCTGGTCTGCTGCTTGCCTTTTATATGGCCCTTCTGGCCCCTGATTGGCCGCTCCAGCAGCCCCTGATTGGTTGCATCTCTGAAGCCACTCTAGTCTGCCTGGAAAACTTCACTACTCTATTCTGGGGTGGGGTGACGCAGAGCTGAGAGGCCTCCAGCAAGGGGCCTCTGGGTAGGGTTGCTAGGCATCCGGTTTTCGACTGGAATGCCCGATTGAAAAGGGACCCTGGTGGCTCTGGTCAGCACAGCTGACTGGGCCGCTAAAAGTCCAGTTGGCCTCAGTGGGGCTGGCAGGCTCCATGCCTGGCTCTGCGCAGCTCCCAGGAAGCTGCCAGCATGTCCCTCCGGCTCCTAGGCAGAGGAGCGGTTAGAGGGGCTCTGTGCAATGCTACCGCCTGCAGGCGCCATCCTGATCACCAGGTCTACAGCTCCCATTGGTCGGGAACCGCAGCCAATGGGAGCTGCGGGGGTGGCGCCTACAGGCAGGGGCAGCGCGCAGAGCCCCCTGGCCGCCTCTCTGCCTAAGAGCCTGAGGGACATGCTGTCACTTCCCAGGAGCCACCTGAGGTCAGCGCTGCTCAGAGACCACACCCCAAACCTGTTCCCATGCCCCAACCCCCTTCCCCAGGTTGGAACCCCCTCCTGCACCCAAACCTCCTCATCCTCAGCCCCACCCCAGAGCCCACACCCTCAGCCCAGAGCCCTCACTCCCCCACAACCCAACTCCCTGCCCCAGGCCTGAGTCCCCTCCCGCATTCTGAACCCCTTGGCCCCAGCATGGAGTCTCCTCCTGCACCACAAACCCCTCCTCCCCAGTCCCACCCCAGAGCCTGCGCCCCCAGCTGGAGCCCTCACCCACACCCCAACACCTGCCCCAGCCTGGAGCCTCCTCCCACACTCCGAGCCCCTCACCACCCCCAGCCTGGAGCCCCCTCTTGCACCCCCACCCCTCACCCCCAGCCCGCATCCCCGCATCCCCATCCAGAGCCCTCACCCCCTCCTGCACCTCAACCCCCTGCCCCAGCCCAGATCCGGCTTCCATGCGCTGTACCCCATGGTCCCATCCCCTAGCCTGGAGCCCCCTCCTGCACCCCAAAACCCTCATCCGCAGCCCCACCCCAGAACCCGCACCCCATATCTCCTCCCAACCCCCTGCCCCAGCCTGGAACCCCCTCCCACACTCCAAATCCCTTGGCCATACCCCCCAGCTTGAAAACCCCTCCTGCACCCCAAACCCCTCATCCCCGGCCCTGCCCCAGAGCCTGCATCCCATACCTCCTCCCACACCCCAACCCACTGCCCCAGCCTGGAGCCCCCTCCCACACTCTGAACCCCTTGGCCCCAGCTCGGACCCTCCTCCTGTGTGTGCAATATTTAGCATGCTTTGGAATACAATGAATTGTACTGACGAAACAGCAATTTTGCATGCAGTAAAATAAAAAAAATTGAGCTACTTTGTGGAACTTCTTGCCACAATATGCTTTGGTTAACGACATACAGGAGTTAAATACTGAGCTTAAGTTAGATTTACCCAAATCAGGTAAAGCTGTTTTCTAATCTGACTGTACAGAAGTTTAAGGCCATTGTGACGGGATGCGACGCACCACTGCGGCGCCCCCTGCTGGATGTCCCAGGGGATCAGCTCTGCTAGCCAGTGCACCTACTTCTGCTCCAGGGACCCACATCATTCCTAGGACTGTGGCGTCCTCTTCATGACACAACCCTCCAGCTGAGCCACACTCTGTGCTCCCCCCTTCTGGAGGACTGGCAGTCCTCTGTCCAGCCACTTCCTCAGTGGCAAGTGAGGGTTTGGTGGGGGGGACCCGGGCCCGCCCATTACTCCAGGTCCCGGCCCAGGGACCCTGTAGATGGCAGCCATGTGTTGCATCCCCTCCAACCCCTCAGTCTACTTCCCTGGGCCACTTCCCCGCAGCCCCAGCACCTTCTCTGCCCTTGTCTCAGGGCCTCAGCATTCCAGCAGTCAGCCAGGAGCTCGCTCTCATTCCCTGGATCTTGCCCAGCCCTGCTCTGTACAAGATGCTGGCTTTCTTCCTCCTGCAAGGCAGCTAGTCCTCCCTCCTTGAGCTCCAGGGAGCAACTGCAGCTGCTCTGTTCTGCAGCCCTTCTTATACGGGTCACCCCGGCCCTGATTGGCTGCTCCTTGCAGCCCCTCTCTAATTGGCTGCCTCCTGCGCAGCCTCCCTAGGGCTCTATTAACCCCTTATGGGCCAGTGTGGGGAGACGCCCCATCACAGCCATGTCAGAATCATGGCCCCTGTAACCAGAATAGTATTTAGATTAAGATCAAACGACTGTTGAATTGCAGCCTAGTGCAGTGTTTCCCATCCGCTGTGCCG